ACTTCGTCCCACAACTTAGTGTTGTCTGCGAATTTGAACAGGGTGCTTTTTACCCCCTTGTCCAAGTCGTTGATGAAGATGTTGAGCAGTGCAGGCCCAAGGACCGAGCCCTGGGGGACCCCACTGCCCACATCCCTCCAGGTCAAATAAGACCCATCCACCACCACTCTCTGGGTGCGGCCCTCCAGCCAGTTAGTGACCCATTTGACTGTGTAGGTGTCGACGCCACAGTCCCCTAGTTTTTTAATGAGAATGGGGTGAGAGAGTGTCGAAGGCCTTCCTAAATTCCAGAAAGACTATGTCCACTGCTACCCCTGCATCTAAGGATTTTGTGACCTGGTCATAGAAGGCCACCAGGTTGGTCTGACAGGACCTGCCTCTAATGAACCCGTGTTGCTTGCCCCTAAACATAATCTCCCCTGCTGGCCCCTCGTGGACATGTGCTAGGATAATTCTCTCAAAAAGCTTACCCAGGATCGAGGTAAGACTTAACTGGCCTATAGTTTCCTGGGTCCTCCTTCCTCCCTTTTTTGAAAATGGGGACCACACTGGCCCTTTTCCAGTCATCTGGCACCACACCAGAGGACCACAAGTGCTTGTAAAGCCATACCAGGGGCCCCACAATGACCTCTGCTAATTCCCTCAACACTCTGGGGTGGAGTTCGTCAGGACCAGCTGATTTAAATACATCCAGTCCCTCCAGAAGTTCCCTGACTAGGTCCTCACTGACCCTAGGCCTGGGTGTGCCTCCCCTGGAGCCTATGGGGGTCCCGGTTGGGGGGGAGGGTGACCCGATCCCTGCTCAGGAAAATGGAGGCAAAGAAATTGTTGAATAGGTTAGCTTTGTTGTCTGGTGTGACGACCATATTTCCTAGCGTGTCTTTCAGCGGCCCCATGTTACCCAGTACCTTCTTTTTACCCCCTATGTATTTAAAAAAGGACTTCTTGTTGTCCTTGATCCGGGTAGCTAGTCCCAGTTCCATCTCCGCCTTGGCCTTCCTAACCGCTCCCCTACAGCCCCGAGCAACTGAAGTATAGTCCTCCTTTTTGGTGGCCCCTCCCTTCCATTGGGTGTACGCCTCCTTTTTAGCTAGGAGACATTCCCGTATGCTTTTGGTGAGCCAAGGTGGCTTTTTAGTTCAACCCGGCTCTGCAACGTCTATATAGATTGGGCACTTCAGTGGCACTTTTATATATCAATCAGCTATTAGATAAAAGCACGAGAAAAGCCCCACTAAAGCACCCAAACTATATAGACATTGGGCAAGTCAGGTGCAGCTAATGCGATGCCTCTTCTGGGCACGTGCTAGGCTTGGCAGGGGAGTGCGCCAAGTTTAAAGTATAGCACTGTTTGTTGAATTTTTCTTATGTCTGTAAGAAGCCTGTGTGTGGAAAGGGAACAAACACTGTGCTGAAGAGATTTGCCTGTGATCACACAATAAATGACAGAGCTGGGACTAGAGTCTATGGGTGCCTGTACATGAGCGTGGAGGCCTCTCCAATGCACTGTAATTACAGCTTGTCGGGGCACTCAATTCAAGTCTGTTGGAGTGTGGTAAAATTACCGTGCTCCAGCCAGCCTCCGTTTCTCATGTATCAACGTCCCTGCACTTCAAAATGGCAGCAGGGGGGCTTTAAAGCTCGTCAAATGAGCTTTAGTTCAGGTGCCCCTGCCACTATTTTGAAGCTTAGGGATGCTGATACATGAGACACTGCAGCGCTTTAATTAGATCAGCTGTAATTAAAGTGCCACCCTTCCCCACCATTCCCAGAGCGCGTGTAAAAGTGCCATATGTCCCTTGACAGGGTACTGGCTACAGAGTCCATTAGACCCCACTGCATCTTCTATTTATGTATTCATTCATGTCTTCATTTCCATAGGGCCAACTTCCGTTCACTGAAGAATGATCCTTACCATTTAACTGATATTGTCTTTATTGCCTTCTTGCTTTTCTTTTTTTATGCTTGTGCACAGGTGCCCCTGTGACTAAGATGCGATATGCTTAAACATGTTCAACACCAAGCATAAGGATTTTTGGAATTATACAATATGCCCACACAGTGCTAATAATGACTTGCTAATCAATAAATGCTAACATTTTTAGGTCAGTTCTGTTTCAGACAGTGTAGACCCACTGCCCTGCAAACACCTTGGTTGGGGGGAGAGGCTTGGTGAGGCGTCTAGAAGGTTAATAGGACAAGGCTTTGGCAGACAGAGAAGAACTGAGTACCAGAGGCCAGGAACCTACAAGGAAAATACTCTTTGACAGCCCCCTCCTGCTTAAACCCAGTCTCCCACTTGTGTTACACTAATCGCAACTGCAGCTTTGTTGCAAAATAGAAGATAGCAGTTTTTCAAGTTATCAAGTCCCCAGGCATTTAGGTAGGATTTTCAAAGTGCTTAGCATTGGCCTAACTCCCTTCCCCTTGGAGCAAATGGGAGACTTACCATTTGGATCAATGGAAACAGCTTTTTAGAACAGCACTGAGCCCACTTGAGAACTGCACCTGTGTGTGTACGTGCTGACCTGATCCATCATGTGAACTGCTAATATGATCATCTCCCTGCCCCATTTTGAGTTTTAGCAATGCAACCTATAGGTGTCATGTTGCTGCCAGTAAACACAGAAACAGACCAAGAAATATCCAGATTCCACACTTTCCATTTGCTAAAGTGTTTCTGTGCCAAAAAGCTGCATTTCTCATTTGGAATGAAATCTGAACACCTGTTCTTCATATTTCAAATGTTGGAATAAATGGCAAGCAAAAAATATTCCACTGGAGAGGTGGTGATTTGTGGTTCTAAGTAAATAACACACTTGAAATCATGAAATGTAATCAACCTGTAAATCCTTCCTGTTGGTAAAATATATATACTTCTCCAAATTCCACATGTGAAATTTAAATATTTTGTTTACATAGCCTCTATTTTATTAACCAAATCCTCTCTTTCAAGGTGTTTGGTCACCAGAAAAATAACCTCTCTTCTGTGTTAGCACGATTAGATCATAGAGAAGTAAGACTGGAAGAGACCTTAAGAGCTCATCTAGTTCAGCTAGGGTTCAAACCTCTGATCTTGGTGTTATTAGCACCATGTAGTGTTATTAGCACCATGCCCTAACCAGCTGAGCTGAAGTTTCAATGTCCAAATTTTAGTCTAAACTATTCTTCTGAAATTGAGTTTACTGCCGTGATCCCCCTGCTTTAATAGTGTCAGGTTAAGGCCTTATGTCTTGTGGCTGTCAGGGTTGGCTGTGTAGTTCTGCTAATAGGCTAGTTCAATGGTACTCAACCTTTTGGTCATGAAGGCCAGATGAGTGGCCTAGGGCTGGTTCTTAGGCTTGATTGGCCCCCAATCCTTCTCAGACCAACACTGCTGGATCCAGCCCCATGATGCTGGATTGGGCCCTATACTACCACTGGCCAGGCCCATCCAGTGGGATCAGGCCTTGCACCATCTCAGATGACCCCTGTGCACTCAGGTCAGGCCCCATGCCACCTCTACTCAACCCTGCGCATCTGATCTTGTGGGCCAAGCCATGCTATCCAGCCCACGGGACTTCCCAGGGATCCAAAAATGTGGCGGCAGGGGAGCAGCAGCTAATACTGCTACTTCTC